TAAGCTGCTCTCACTATTGTTATTAAACTTAGTTCCGTGATTTTAATCCCAAGGCTGACATATCAAATGAAAACAATCTTCTCAACGTCCTTTTTGTTTCATTCCAAACTTATGAAGAAAAGTAAAACTCTCAGGGGAACAGACTGACAGATTAACGTCAAACGTGTGTGCGGGGGAAGGAGATGGGCTTCACGAGATCAGCGTGTTTCCGGGGAAGTTAAACTGATATGAAATTTTTTTTTTTTTAGGAAAGTTCATTTTCAACAAGAGGATTACAGTCGTTGGGAAGTTGGTACTTATATTGAGCATTCGAATGTTTTGTTTACAGTTTGATCAGTCTAATTTTTGTCGGCTCATCAAGCAGGGATACAAGTATTATCATCTACAGTAATATATTTTCAACCAGCAGTGCTCCCTCTTTTTCAGCTAAGGAAAATTATTTATTATGAAGATTCAAAGCCACCAGTGCAAGCATGATTTAGCTTATCTCAGCTGTTATCATTTGTTGATACCTTCTCCAATGCAAACCAAAAACAACAAAACAAGTACAGGCACATCTAATTTGTTAGGCTATCGTCGGACGAAGCCATTAATCATTCAGTGAAGAATCCATGTGAGTGGTTTGCTCCTTGATGGGAACAATAGTGAAGACCCTTCGGTGTTATTGAAACCTTATATTCTGTACTCGACATATTCAAGATATGGACTTCTACACTGAACAACGATGAGTTTAAATGTTGGTACGGCTAGTCAAAGAGCTGCTTGCTTTACCAACGTAATTTGCTCAGTCTAGCATGGATGCTTTACGTGATATGTACTTGAAGAGTCGGTTTAAAATCACCATAAACTGGATGTTTAGAATCAATTACTGAGAACCAGTGTTATTTTCAGTTTGTAACAAGATTAAACGACGATTTTCGCTTGGGATGTCTCTTGTAGCATCTTTTACGAATCGTTACAGAAAATGTAACGATTCGTGTTTTTTATGTCGCATCAAGGTGAACTGACTACTTTCAAAGGAAACATTCTAGTCTTTAGTAATTCATCAGATTGCGTGTACAGTGAGGGTATAAGAAATAAGAAACTTCACAGCTTTCAAAGGCTCGAGTTCAAAAGGAACCCATCGACGGCATAGATTCGGTCGAGAAACAAAATGTCGCATCAATAAAAAAATGATAACCCATTGACCCATTGTTTTCCCCGTGATGATTTGCGTGAGGTTTTGGTTGGCTTGTCCCAAATGTAATTGGGTATGACTATAGAATTATGTATACTGACAAAGAGCTGCCTGAGCATCAGCAGTCAGTATTGTTATAGTATTAGACTTAGTCATTCAGTGATGGGAATCCAAGCTAGTGCTGTTGTCAAGTAATTTATTTTTTGACTATGACCCACTTTTACAGATATTTGACTTGTCAAACAAAAGCAATCTCATCAACAAAGTTTTTTTCTTTCTGTTTCCTTCAAATCTTGAGAAAAAAAGTATGCTTTTCTATGAGACGGATAGGTTTGTCAAAGAAGCTTTTTATATAAATAAGACCAAACCTGAACTAAACAAACAATTACAGCATTATAACACTTTTCTAGCGTTTTAGTTCACACCTTTGATGTTTGGTGTCGCGTTGTAATTAGTACCCGCCTTTGTATTACATCATACTGTAAATATTTTATTCATCTACTTGTATGCTATATAATTACTCACGTTCAGTTACTCATTGATTGAAGATGGCATAAGCACGGTCGAAACATGTCTCTCAAAAAAGCTGTCTATTTCATACTTGCTACTACTACGAACTTATGGAATAAATTTATGTGTAAACTTGTTGTTGGTCCCACGGTGTAATGGTTGGCACTCTGGACTTTGAATCCACCGATCCGAGTTCAAATCTCGGTGGGACCTGGTCATAATTAACAATTATTCGCCTTCGGCGAGGTGAATATCGTCGAATAATCTCCGAGACGAAGTCTCGAGGATTATTCGACAATATTAACCGAACCTGAGGCGAATAATTGTTTTAGTATAATTTCAGAGCTGAGCAACAGAGAAATTTCTAAAATCATAACATTTTAGTAACATTTTAACATTTTATTTTAACATTTTATACAAGCCGCGTGGAGCGGTTTATATAGCGTCATATAAGGAACCGTTCGACCAATCAGATTGCTGGAAACTCTTTGCTCAGCTCTGAAATTATACTAATAACCTTTATTTTTAAGAATTTTTAAGTACCAAGTACTTTAAAAAGTATTATCC